CGAGCACGGGGACCGTCAAGCATGACGAGTTCACACAGAACGCCATTCGCCTGAAGGTGCATCGCAAGTGCTCCGAGAGGGAGATTCCTACCCTTGACAGCTATTTCAAAATAAACTGTACAGGCCACAACTATTGTCGATTAACGTCTTATAAATTTTGGGCAAGGCCGCTATCAGGGCACTTCCTCATTCCACGCTGCACGAAAGAAAAATATAACTCGGTGCTGGAGGCAAATAACACTTGCAAAGCGGCAGACCAGTTGGTAGAAATCTGGCCTCTCGGCGACTTATAAATAAAGATAAAGAAGGAGGAACTGAAATATGCACTTCGCCAATGCGTACAATCTTGCACGAAAAATATGTCTAAAAAAGAAAAAAAAATTTTGCGCGTCAAATGGGTTCAAACCACGGCCACCGAGACGTCAATATCGCCAGAGCAGCGCCTTCTACCACTCGTCCACAAAACGCGCGGAGTAACATTTTTTCTATCTTTTCATGCGCACCACTTTAGTACCTTTCACAGCGTTGCACGCTAAGTATGAAACAGAGTATAAGACACCCTATTGTCTAGTACAGAGACCATTTATAAACGCTTGGGTGTTTAAACGATGTACTACACATTTTACAAAAAAAAAAAAAAACATTGGGTGTTTAGACGTTGTACTACCCTTTTTCAATAGGAAAAAGCAACAATAAAAAAAACACAATTCAGAAGAAAATGTTAAGGAAACGGAATGTACCATTATGTTCAGTGAAGTTTGGTGACAAGACTCGGGACTCGAGCAGGAATGCAGTTATCCTTGGTGTGACCCCATGAGACTGTCTTGCTGCCTTTGCTGGGTTTATCTAACTGAAGTTCCTGTACGAAAAGTAGAACACATGTGCATAACACTCATTATTCACAAGAAAATTTGTCAACGTCCAAAATGACCCATGAAGAAAAATATGCGAGGAATTCTCAGGCTGCGTTGGCCGAGTCACCTCTCGTGGCCAATGTTTCATAGCAACTTTAATTGTAGTGAACAGTTATAGGGTATATTACGAACAAAGTGCAATTTGGTTTTGTAGGAAACTATAACACACAAAACGACACTTGAATACAGTATGTTGAGGTACTCTGAACAAACTCCAGGGTTTCATGGCGCCTCCTTCAGATACCTGATGTTGAACATGAAATATGTGCACCAAGGAGTGAGCAAACAGCGACTTCAGATGTGTCTCTAACACCAGCGACATGTCGACAAGGAGTGCAACGTGTAGAAGGTCGTCTAGAAGTGTGCCAAGATGAAAAAGCAAGATGTAACGATATCAGAATAAGATCACACCAACGAGGCACCATTGTGGTGAGACAATCTACGATGTAGAGACAGTAATCGGGAGTCAACCGACGTACGGCCGCGATTTACTTTGCGGCGAGTAAAATGAAACATGGAAAAAAAAATTAAAAATTAGAAAACGCGTTTTTTTTTACATTATTTGTTGAGCGCAGCCGGTAGCAGAGCAGTTGGGCGGCGTCACAAAAATCTGAAAGACTCGCTAGCTTTTCTCAACTTCGTACGGCGCCAGTCGGCACCACAGATGAATGGTCGGCACTCTTAGTCTACCAGGGAAGAAAAAAGTACGAGCTCAGAGCCGAGCGTCGATCGCGACTTTCGTAAAGAGAAGCTCCGGTAACACTTCGGCGACTCGTGAGCGTTAAACAACGCCTCTTCGAACGAGCCCACGAATCCAACACGCCGAACGGTTTGCGCCGGTAAGCACGCTGGGAGTAAGGGGGCTGGAGGTTGAATATCCGAAAGAGACGAGGCGCTGGTTTCTACGTCTATTTCGCACATGAGATAACAAGATAGCGAAGCTAGCCGAGTGTAAACACTGACTGACGTTACATCAGAGAACACGCAGTCGAAATGACGTCTGCAACAGAGCAGAGCCAGACGCTTTCAGCAGGGGACGCATGCGTTCAAATAAGCTGCGATTTCAAAACATCATGTCTCCCTTCTGTCCTTCAGTGTTCACTTTGATCTGTGTATACCAAAGCACTCAATGCTGCAAGTAATAAAGTCGTCTATACGTACCTTTCGAAGCGATTGAAAGTGCGTTGGTTTCACTTAGAACCCACAAGCAAAGTGCGCGACGAACTTCACGAGCTGTCATCCGTTGGTCCCGCTATCGCCGCCGTCTCGCCGGGTTGGCGCGGTCGCGGTCGCTGCGCAATGGCGCAATCGCGCAACCTCGGCGGCTCGGCTAGGCTTGGCTGGATCAGCGGATTCGGCCACTCGGCGGCTCGCTCAGCCGCTCGTCTGGCTCGGTGGGCTACTCGCGGCTCGCTCGGCTCGCCTCCCTTCGGAGTTCGAACTGCCTCCGAAGCTCGAGCGCTCGAGCTTTCGCGCGCGCGGGTTGACGATGGAAACTTTTCTCATAAAACAAGTCTGTAACGTATCGTTTGATGGCGCAAATGCACGTATTTTTCCCGTCGTTTTTTACAGTGTGTGAATCTTGCGAAACAGGCGACGAAGAGTGGTGGGTGAAATGTGCTCGTGTGTGGTTGTGGATTTTGTGTACGACGTAGGATTACCCAGAAAGGTGGGTCAATATCGATAAATGTGCGGCTAAGAAGCACGTGACCTGTCAAGCCCATTAATCCTCATTATTTTATCGTGCGAACTGACATTGTCACGTATCGCGTTCGATTTGGGTTCCAACATCGTTAACCAAACTTTTGTTGCATTAAAACTGCAATAAAGATTTGTTTGAAAACGATCACTCCAATGAGCACGTCGTTATTGGGCTTTCTCATTGAAAGGCAGGTCGCGGGTGTCCCAGCTAGTTGTTCTGAATGGTTTGGTGGTTGTCTAGCATTTCAAGCGCTCAAGGCTGTGCGTACTGTGTGCCGTACGTACACTTGCGCTTTCGATCAATATGAATGTGTTTGCAACGCGGAACGTTTGTGTTCTGTGTGTATCCACCCCCAATATTGTTCTCTCTCGTATTGCCGTATGGTAACTCCTGCTGTTCTACGATATCATTCACGCGATGTCGTATATGTGGGCGTACCGATATCCACATGTTGCTTCACGGGCGATCAATACTGTGTTACGTATCCTCTTAGTCCGCGGTATATGCCGACGTAATTCATGTGTGTAACTTGGAATTCGTTCTGAGATTTATCCACGCGATATTGTATTCTCCTTTGGGCCCGTGATCGACGACCGATATTTATATATCGTGTGGCCGCACAGTATGTCCATGTCGGTCACCAATATGCACGCGGTGTCGTATTCTATTCCAATAACCGTAAGTTTTGTCGGGATATTGTGCTTCGATATCGTGTTGTATACCAATAACCGCAAGTTATATCGGGATATTGTGCTCTAATGTCCTGTTGTATACCAATAACCGCATACTATGTCGGGATATTGTGCTCCGATATGAATTCCCATCGTGCGTATTGGGTTAATCGGATAACAATAAGTTTTTATTGGCCTTTTTCAATAGGGACAGCACAAGACTTGAGGCGTGGTGTTGCCCTACGTCACGTTCGCTTACAACACAGCGGTACAAGAGACCACAGGAGTAACACCGTTTCAGCTGGTGCATGGCAGAAAAGTAACGACCATGGGGTAGCGATGCTACCCCACGAACCAGCTGACGATGGAAGCCCCGACACCCAGGTTGTAGCTCAACGAGCAGAGGAAGTTCGCCAGCTCGCCCGACTCCGAATTCGAGATTAACAACGTGTCGACGCTACCCGGTACAACCTTCGCTGGATCGACGTTCGCTTCAAACCCGGAGACAGTGTGTGGGTTTGGACTCCGATACGACGACGGGGCCTAAGCGAGAAACTCCTGAAGCGCTACTTCGGACCCTACAAAGTGCTTCGTCGACTTGGAGATCTTAACTACGAGGTGATGCACGATGGAACACGGACTTCATCACGCCGCCCTCCACGACCGGAAGTCGTCCACGTCGTGCGCCTCAAGCCGTACTACGATCGGTAGGACTGTGAATTGTGTTCTGTAATACGGTCGATAGGATTGTGTTGCACAAGTTTATGTAGTTTGCCAATATTTTTGTTTTTTTTTTGCTGTTTTTGTTTCCTGGGACGTCGCATCGAGACAATGCGCTTTAAAAGGAGGAGGGGGGGGGGGGGGCGTAATGCCCTGCACGTGGCCGAGCAAACGCGTGCGTGGCCGAGTGGTTGATTCTGATTTGGGCTATCAGCCCGAGTGGACGTGCTCATGAATCGCTCCCCGCAAGCGGCGGCGGCCGTTATCGGCCGCGGTGAAACGAGTGCTGCTTTTTTGCCTATAGATTACTGTCTGCAACTGCCTGCCCTACCCACCGGAGATGCTGCAATGCTCAGCGTGACACTTCACGCTGACCTGCAAGGTCGACCATATCGGATCAAGGATTTCCGAGAGCCGCTGAACAAGGTGGGCGTTTTGCCGGGCGTGGCTGGTCTGGGTGCTTTCCAGATGAGCCACGTCTGGCTTCTCAAGTTGCGCACGCCGGAAGACAAGGCCAAGCTTTTGGAAGCCGGTCACTTGGAAGTTAAAGGCCGGTTTCGTCTCGTCGTCGACCCGAGTCGAAGGCAGCTTCACATCAAGCTCCACTGGGTCACTTTCGACTTCCCGGTGGACACGGTGCGCCGCGCCTTTGAACCTTTTGGCGTGGTCAAGGAAATTATCCGCGAAAGGTGGAAAATTGATGGCTTCGTTGATGTCGAGTCCACCACGCTGGTCGTGCGGATGGAGCTCAACGAAGGAGTTGCCCTGGAAAGCCTTCCGCACCAGCTGCGGATTTGTGGAGGGAAGGTTCTCGTCGTCGTCCCCGGCCGGGCGCCGATCTGTCTGCGGTGCCGCCGAACAGGCCCTATACGTCGGGATTGTAGGGTGCCCTTGTGTGCCCAGTGCCAGGCCTTTGGACACGAGGCCGCGGCGTGCGTTAAGACGTACGCTCGCGCCACCGGCATCAACACCCAAGAGGCGCCGGATGACCTCGACCTCATGGACGAGTTCGAAGGTGAGAAAGCGGCGTCGGCGGCAACGGTGACGGTTTCGGAAACCCCACGCGAGGGCACGGCGGTCGATACAGCCTCGGTAGAGAAGACGCCAGAACCATCGGCGTCGGTACCGACGGTCCAGGCGACCCCCGGGGTGTTCGAAGACGTCGTGCATGAGAAGGCCGAGAAGCCTGTAGGGCCTGGTGCCAACGCCAGGACAGAAGAGGACGACGGCAAGGTCATAGGTGGCGGCAACGCCAAGGCCAGGGACGGCGACAACGCCAAGGGCACCGACGACACCAATACAGAGGTGGCGGCGACACCAGAACCAAGGGCGACGACGGCGCCAAAGCGAAAAACGAAGGAGCCAACGGCGAGGACAACGATGGCAGCAGGCCCATGGAGGTCACGGCCGGGACGATTAAAAGGCGGCACGACGAAGTGAACCCCCACGCTGGCGAAAGGCAACTACGACGCCTCGAGCGCGAGTTGGTCGGCAAGGTGGGACGTAACCGTGAGCGGTCAACGTCGCGCCCGCGCACAAAGGAACAACCTAAGTGAGTCGCTAGGACCTTGACTGTACTGTTTATTTGCCTTACTTTGTGTTTTTCTGTTTGTTCTAAGCACCATGCTCTCCGGCTGCTTCTTTAAACCCCAAAGTGCTAGAAAAAACGGTGCGGGTAGGCACGTTAAACGTGCGGGGTTTGTGTTCACGACGACGGCAATGCCAACTGAACCGCCTCTTTATCGACAACGATCTAGACATCGTGGCGGTTCAGGAGTCAAAGATTGATGAGGGCCAGACGGAGAGCATGGTGCGGCTGTTCGAGCCGCGGTTTGACGTCTGCGTAAGCCACGCCGTCGGAACTTCCGGCGGGTGTCTTTTCTTTTTTCGAAAATGTTTGTTCACTATGGAAAAGGCGGTTAGTGACAAGTCGGGATGCTTTGTTTTGTGTGATTTTTCTTCGTCTAATCTCCACTTTCGTGTTTTGTGCATTTACGCACCTAATGGAGTAGATGAACCCGTATTGTATTTTGAATTCCTTGATAGGTATGTTCAAACCGAGCGGAGCGTTATCTTGATGGGTGACTTCAATTGTGTGTGTACGGCTCGCGACAGGCCGAATAGTGGTAGATTTAGAGATGAAAGTGCTTTACTCTTGGGGGGCATAGTTCAAAGGTACGGTCTGAAAGACGTTGTTAACTGCACGTCAAGTGGGGGAGCTCTACGTTTTACTCAATTTCAGGGGACAAGTAACGCGCGCCTTGACAGGGTGTACGTTTCCGTCGATTTGCCAAAAGCGTGTAAAAAATATTCTGCAGATCATGTGTCTTGTAGCGACCACTGCCTTGTTTCGTTTTCACTGTGCTCATCCAAAAAGACGCAAAAGAAGTTTAGTTGGGACCTTTGGAAATGCAATACCAAGCTCCTTTGGGACGAATACTTCGTTAATTCTGTTCGCCAAACCTTAGAACAGTTGGCGAGGGCGGGAGGGAACGATTTTAGAGGTAAAGTGGGAGCTTTTTAAACAAGATGTGAAAATGAGGGCTATAGAACGCTCAAGTTTTTTTGAAATATGAACACGAAAAGGTGAAGCGCGAATTAAACGACCTGCTGAAAGAGTTGTTATGCGAAGAATGTGTATCCCCTGGGGTTTTTACTGACTATATTATAAGCCTTAAGAAGCATCTGGAAGCATTAGATACTGAGCAGTATCAGGGAGCTATCGTACGGGCGCATTTGAAACGCTTATCTGAGGGGGAGATGCCCACTAAAAGAGCTGTCGGCATGGAAAAAAGATATGCCGTGAAAAATGAAATCAGCGAAATTGTTTATCGGGGAACGTTGACCAACGATAGGCAGAGTATTGATCAAGCTTTTGTTAATCATTACAAAGAACGCTTCAGTTATCGCACGCCCAAGTGTGGTGATTTCCGGAATTTCTTTTTACCGCTTATGCCGAAAGTGGTTGACGACGTCAAGGAACGACTAGAACAACCTACTATGTTAAGTGAATTTGAAAAGGCAATAGATGACCTGAAGATAGGAAAATTGCCTGCGCCTGATGGTTTGGGAGCTGAATTTAAAGAAAAAACGTTTAAGGACCAAGTGGCTCCTTTCTTGCATTGTGTGATTGCCGAAGCGTACCGACTTAAAGTTTTACCCCCGTCATTTTTGCTTACCCACACCGTTTTAATTCCAAAGAGCGAGGATCAAGTAAAGCTCCGCTCGGTCGGAGCCTACCGCCCGATTACCTTGACGAATGTTGACTATAAGATTTTTATGAAGGTTCTGACGGAGCGACTACAGGTCGTGATAAACCTTATAGTCGGTCCTCACCAGACGTGGGGCATCAAGGGAAGAACTATAGTTACTAATGTGCATATAGCGCGAAGTATTTTAGAGTGTCGCGATGCTTTCCAATAAAATGGTAGCGGTACTTCAACTAAACCTTGAGAAAGCTTTCGACCATGTGTCACACGAAATTCTTCTTTCTATTTTAGAACATGTTAACTTAGGGTCCGTGCTGTGTGATGGGTTACGCATGGCGTACCACAAGTGCGCCACCAGCCTCGTGGTGAATAAGAGTGTGAGTGATCGCATCCCCCTTTTTTCTTCCGTGCGACAGGGATGCCCACTTTCGCCATTACTTTTTGGATTTTCCTTGAGCCCTTCTGGCCTTTGTGTGATCAGTAGTGGGGAAATACGCGGCTTCAACTTACAAGCCACAGAGGTTCGCATTTTGGTTTACGCCGATGACGTAGCTATTTTTTGAGCGAATCAAGAAAGTGTAAAGAAAGCCATAGACTTAACAGTGAAGTTCTGCGAGCAGACGTGTAGTGCCGTGAATTGGCAAAAGTGTTCGGGCTTTTGGCACGGTGACTGGCCCTCAAAACCCAATGTCTTTGAGCGTGTGACGTGGTCAACCACGCCGACGCGTTATCTTGGAGTCCCGATGGAGCAGTACAGGGACAACACAGAATTTTGGTGCGAACAAACTCAAGCATTACGCGAAAAGGCAGATAAGTGTGTGTGTGTGTGGGGGGGGGGGGGGGGGGAGAGCTTTTCTTTTTTCTTTTTTTCTTTTTTGCCGCGAAAGTCTGGTATTTGTTACAGGTGTTGCACTATTCCCGAGTCAACATTCAGCGATTGCATCGTGTTTTTGCGGTTTTTATTTGGGGCTCGTGTTGGGAGCGCACGAGCCGAACTAACCTTTTCTGCGAGTGAAAGATGGTGGTCTGGGTCTGTCGCACCTTTTTGTCAAACAACTTGTGAATAGGTTTATTTTTCTAAGGGACCAAAGGGACAGCTTTTTACGCACGGTCATTCAGGTGCGGCTGCGCAGTGCGCTGCCCGAGTTTATTGTCTCGACAGATGTAGACCTGAGCTCCGATGTGCGAGGTTATTTGAAAGAGGTTGTTTCCGTATACCGGTTTCTAGTGGCTCGTTTTTCACTTGAATATCTGTCCAGTGTGTCGCGCAACCGGCTGACCAATTAGACCTGATTGTTTCTCTCCTTCCCAGTCCTCTGTACCGTTCGGTGTTCAGCGCCAGAACGGGGCAGGGTGTTTTAAAACGTGTTAAGCGAATGACGGTCCGTGCTTACACCAAAACTTTCTTTTTTAAGCTGCATAGTGAAACCCTGCAGGTTAAAGTGCGGCTAGAAGAGAAAGGTATCCCTGTAGCGTGGTCAGTGAGCTGTTTTTTGTGTAAAGAGCCGGAATTAATAGAGCATCTGTTCCTCAACTGCTGGGACGCAGTGCTTTTATGGGACGTCCTTCGAAGAACTGTAAAAAAGACCTTCCGTTAACGCCTCATGGGATCCGCTACCTTTGTGTCGAGGGAGGGAATAATCTGGTGCCATATGACATGATCATGCTTGTCGGCCTACATAGTTTGTGGCGATGTCGCATGGCAGTGAGACAGGCAGACCTCGACGTGCGTCCCGCGCTTAAGGATTTTGTTGAAACAATCTGTTACCTAAAGGCAGTGTTTAAAATGCAGCAACCTCCTCCCGATTATTTGCCACGTTTTGAGGAGCTGGCGACCCTCAAGGATTCATAACTGATTGGAAGTGTTTGGATGCGGCATCCCTCTGTCTTGTCGCTGTTCTCTCGTGTACATTAGCCACTGTGGCTTTGCTTTGGCTTTGACCTTTTAGCCTTTTGTAATCTTTCGTGTATGCCAAAGTCAGGCAATAAAGAAAAAAAAAAGTGGCCGAGTGGTTACCGCGCTTGACTGTCGTGCGGAAGGTGCTGGTTCGATTCCAGTCAGCGGATTGTCATTTTATTTATTCTCTCAACTTGGCCTTCTCGTAAGTTCGAGAATATTCTCGCCTGATCATGTTCTGATTCTTCTACGCACCGAAAGTTCTACGCCGAATGATCCAGAAAACAACGAGAGTATGTACAGCCAGAGGCAATTTCACCTGCGACAACGGAGCGAGAGGCCTCGGGGAACAATTGCCGTATGCAGCGCTGCGTTCGCTTTTTCGCATTGGGGAAGAGGCTGGGGGAGAAGTCCACGTTTCGCTGCCGGGGGAGGTCGAGTCAAAACAAATGCCCCTCGCGCTAGAATGGCCTTCTATCATATCAGAAAAGTTCTTTTTTGCACAATATTTTTTCTGCGTTTTATCTTTCGCCTTCTCTTTGTAAATTTTCACTGTATTTCCTCAAGGGGTCAAACGCTCCGCTGTTTCATTTTGATCATTGGAAGTTAGTTAAGAATGACTAATAGTTCATTTATAGGCGTGCACTCAATATATGGTAGCATGGAAGTTTTCCGCCAAGGTAAAAAACGACTGCATAAGGATAGTTTTTCCTGTGTCTGATTTTCCGTGCGTGTGCTCGGGAATTTTGTGACTGCAAGAATAGAAACATTGTCTTCAGCGTAGTCTTTATTTCCTTATACCACAAAAATAATTGATTCGTCTTACAATCTATTGAAAGAATAACGCGATTGGTAATCACATCTAGCCAGAAGTTATTTCCAGGAAGCTAAAAGAAAAAAAAAGAAGTGGGCATCCGACACAACTAACCGCGCACTCCCGCTCCATCAGTGCTTATCACCTCTCAAAGGCGCCTTGGTATAGACTCAGAGAGGTTGCTGGTGAGGATCGGGATAGACTGGAGGTTGGTCCATTCTTGTTCGACTGCTTCCCAAAGGACTTCTGAAGAAGCCTGATGAAGGTCCCGCGTTAAGAGATTCCGTTTCATTAGTCCCCATTTGTTCTCGATGAGATTTAGATCCGGCGACCTTGCTGGCCATGTCAATTGCCTTAGACCTAAGCCGTCGAACAGGCTCTGCACACGGCCAGCCGTGTGAATCAGACTGTTATCTTGTTGCAAGATAAAGCAGCCGTCGGAGAACTGACCATCCAAGGCGAAAGGAAGCAAGGTATAACAAAATATGTCACAGTATGTCTCCGACGTCAGTCTTTCGTC